ACGTGCTCCTCGGCTGCATGTCCCCGAGACGTGCTCCTCGGCCGCATGTTCCCGAGACCACATCCTCGACGCGGCCAGCCCGCGCGAGATGTGCTCCTCGGCCGCATGTTCCCGAGACCACATCCTCGGCGTGGCCAGCCCGCCCGAAGACGTACTCCTCGGCCGCATAACGCCGAAAGCACCTACGCAGCGCAGCCTATTTGCCCCGGACATGTACCTCAATCGTGAGCCGCGAACAGAACCATCGCTTACCAATCAAAGCCACGCCTCGAATCCCCGCCGTCCGATGCCGAGCCATGGCTTCCTTTGGGGGGGATATGATATGGCAAAAAAATGGAGGACCCCACTCCTGGCAACGTCCCCCGCACGTGGACAGGCGCGACGCCCCAGGAAGAGCAATGAGGGTGACGGTCTGCGTCCGGACGTCAGCCTCGCTGAGCTCACAGCCCCCACAGTTGACCCAGCACAGTAGGACGAGACAGAAGTAGGTAGCGGTTGAAGCTCGCCCATACCCTGCGATTCCCCGGTCCCCTACCCAACATCCTCGGCGACGTCGGACGCTATCAGAGATACGGCCCCGACTGACGGGATGGCGCGCCCGTTAATGCCGAGTCCCCCTATAAACACCCCCGAGCCAGAAGGAAAAAGGGGGACTGGCTCCTCGAAGGAAAACGACCTCCACGTCACCCTCTAACTTGATCGTCGGAGGGGTCGGGCGGAGCATCCCGACCCGACCTTTGTGCAGGTACCGAGCCAAGGCCCCCGTCCGGACACGCAGCATCCCCGCCCGAAGGGAGTCGCAGCGTCGCCCCAAGTCCGAGGCCGCACCTGACCGCCTTGGCGGAGACAAGCAACGCCCTAGGGAGATCCCCGCCATTCGGACCCCCGAACGAGCCGAGACGACCCCCCGGATCACGGCTAAGAAAAAGGTGTTTACCCTAACACCACCAGGTGCTAATATTAATATTAACCATATTAGATTCATAATATACAAACGAGGTTGGTTTACCTTTCTTTTCAAGTCATTGTTGGAATTTCGTGTATTCCTTCTTCATGTGTCTCTTCCTTTTACAAAAGAAGCACTTTGCTTCTTTCTTGATATCAGCTTGGGATGATATTTTATCTTTTCCCTGCTGATGAGTATTCTGATTAGCTTGATTTTTGTCTGTTATGTTCTTCCCACGAGTGGTTATCACCAATGCACTCTCACCCAGTTCCATCACTAGCCTCTCTTCTTCTTGAACACACTTGGTCATTAATTCATTAATTGATCATTTGTCCCTATATGTATTATATGAAATCTTAAAAGGCTCATATTGATGTGGAAGGGTGTTCATAATATAGTGCACTAGGAAAGATTCCGACATATTGACCTTGAATTTCTTAAGTTGAGCCACAATATCTTGCATTTGCATTTTATACTCACGCATGCCCTTTATATTGATGAGTCTAAGGGATGAAAATTTCATTATTATGGTACTTGCTAGTGCCTTTTCCGAAGTGACGAATTGCTCATCAATAGCTTGTAGTAAGTCTTAGACTTTTTCATGCTGATCAATAGAACCACATATACTAGTAGTTATCTTAGTTTTGATAAACATCACGTTGAGCCGATTGGATCGCTCCCATCGCTCATATTAGGAAATAAGATGGGCTCACATGTGGAGACAATTGGAACATGCATTTTAACTTTAAGTAGTGGTTTTA